CCTGTGGCAGGGGGTTGGGACTGGATGAGCTTTAAGGTCCCTTCCAACCCAGACTATTCTGGAATTCTGTGATTCTATGTCAAGCTTTTTAAAGGACTTGTGGAATCTATATCCTAGTAAACATGAAGTCTGCAACTAGAAAATTAGCAAAAGCTACAATGAAGAACAAAATCAGTGGACAGGTAAATATGACTTACTCCTTAAAATCCATACAAATGGAAGTCATGCTTCACAAATCAATTTAAGCTTTTTTAAATGAATCAGCAAATACAGCAATAAAGGAGACTGAGTTGATAAAACCTACTTTGATTTCCAAAAGAGCCTCTTAAAGAGGCTATACACCCATGACATATTTAGATAAAAACTGATTAAAAGAGAGAAAAAAGATGAGTTCTGGGATATTCCTGGGAGATTCCCATAAGGAGATCTGTGCTGAGGTCAGTGCTAATCAATTTAGTCAGAAAAAAAAAAGATGCTGAAAGCTGATACGAAGTCCTCTGGGCTAGTAAGTGGATGGCTGAAAACCTGCAGTGTCTTTATGATAGCGAAGGATTAGACAATAAAATGACAGGTGAAATGGTGTGTAGAGAAGTCAGACATGACCACAGCATCCTACCTTTATAAATAAACCAATGGGCTCTAAGCAGACTTCCCCTTGCAGGAAGATGATCTTGGGATTATGGTAGAAAATTGCCTGAAAATGTTGAATTAGTGCCCAGCAGCAGTCAGAAAGCAAATAAAATGCAAGGAATTATTATTAGGAAAGGACAAAACTGGGAACTTCTTTATACCACTGTAATAAATCCACTGTGCATGTAAATACAGAATACTGCTTATAGTTCTGGTTCCCGTACCTCAAATAAGATACAGTATCAAAGGAGAAAAGTGCTGCTGTACAGAAAATGAGTAGACTATGATCCTTCAGGCTCAGACAAATACAGATGCACTAAATGTCTACAAACCATGAGATGGAAAAGAAGTTAAACAGGGAATAATTATCACCACTTCATACAGCACGGAAGTGAATGTCATCAAATGGAAGTAGTGAAATTGAGGCACAAAGCGAGCAAATAGAAACAGTTTTTTACACCTTTGTAAGCAAGCTATGGAATTCTTCACTGCACGAAATTGTTAATGTTAAAATCATGGCTTCAGGAAGTGGTGTGAGTAATTCAGGGAAGAAACATTAACCAAGGGCATTTAATATGAAGACACAGTGTCTGTCTCAGAGGAGTGCCCTGAGCCTCAGCTTCTTGTATGCTTATTACTTATAGATGCTTGCCCTCAGGTTATGCTTCTCCTTAGAGAAGAACATCTGAGATGTGATACCATCCTAGACAGACATCTGTTTGTCCTAGTACGACCATTCTTATGTTGCTTATATTATGCCCTAACAGCCACCAATCAATAACCAGAAAATACATTAACAGGTAAAGACCACAGCAGAAATTACTCATGGGTCTCACGTTGCAGTGCCTTCCACAAAGCTTATGTTCAAGGGTCTAAATTTCCATTTCAAAAGGATATTTGATTTTTAACGTATAATTTCTGATTTTCTCTTTAGGAGCCTATGAAAGAATATGCTGCTATATGGCCAAAAAATGCAACTCAGTGGTTGTGTCTGTGGGGTAAGTGCTACTTTTACATCAAAGTATTTATGGTAACACAGTGTACAGCCGAAACCTATCTGAAACCTATACTGAAAACATCTACTACTGCAAACTGTACTCCCTAATTCTTCACTTTAGCCTTTTATTCCATTGAGAAATGCGCTTATAGGACCAATATTTTAAAATAGCTGTAATACCCTTAGTTTGTCTTTCCAGTCTGCACTGGTTAAAATGAAAACTAAATTGCATTTTTATACTCGCTGTGACAATAACCATGGTATCCTTGACATTCCAGTTATCGTTTGGCTCCTGAACACCCATACCCAGGGCAGTATTTTGATTGTCTCAATGCCACCTTGTATTTTATGAGGAATTTAGAAGAGTATCATGTGGATCCTGCTCTCATCATCCTTAGTGGTGACAGCTGTGGAGCCAATTTTGCTACAGTTATTTGCCAAATATTGCTGAATAAAAGAGATCTCCCAAAAGTACGTGCTCAGGTTTTACTTTATCCAGGACTGCAGGGCCTGGATTTTCACTTGCCTTCCTACCAGCAGAATGCTTCAGTGCCCCTGTTGTTTCGGAAGTCAGTTGTCTACTTCTGCTTTCGCTATCTTAATAAAGAAACATCAGTTTTGGAAGATGTTCTCCAAAACCGCCATGTTCCCGAGAGTATGAAACAGAAGTATAAGAAATGGGTAAGTGCTGACATTATTCCTGACAAATTCAAGTTGAGAGACTACGTACCTCAGAAACCCACCTCATATAAACCTGAAGTCCATGAAGCAATCAAAGAAATTTTAGCAATAACATTTTCCCCACTCTTAGCTGAAGATTCCATTATTCGCCAGCTCCCGGAAAGCTACATCTTGACGTGTGAGTTTGATGTGCTCAGGGATGATGGGCTGTTATACAAGAAGCGCTTAGAGGACAATGGCGTTCAAGTAACCTGGTACCATTCTGAGAGTGGTTTCCATGGAATTTTGCCCTTTTTTGGATATGGGATATTTTCCTTTTTAACTGGGAAAAAGATAATGGATAGTACAGTGAATTTTATAAACAGCTTATAGAAGTATTTTTCAGAACAAAGATGCAAATCTTACTTTATCCTTGGTGAATTTACACTTGGCAAAGAATGTAAACACTTTTGATACCAGATTTTGACTGCATTTTCCACTTTCTAATTTGTGTTTCTGCAGTGGCTCTCAAACAAATGTAAAGATTATTTAAAGCATCACCATTCCAGAAACCATGATTAGAAAACCCCACCATTAAGATCAAGATGCATAAGTAGGCACCTGGCACATACTGTTTCACTTCAACTCAAGCAATTGTACTGTCTTTGCATGCCTGTCACACCTTCAAGACAAGCAGCAAGAACACCTCTTCCTGACGAATGCTCAAGACAACAACCAGGGTCTACTCTGGCCCTTGTGAACGACAGATATTCAGGGTATCAGATGGAGAGCCCAATGATTCAGGTTCTGTGAAGTCTTATGTCTGGTAGTGAAATTGCAGCTATGTGTTTTAATTCCTAGGGTTAGTTTGCACAGACTATGCTGTTCTTGAAAGTTTCTTTCTTCAAGTCAGAAGAAAGGCTTCTGTCTGAAGTGGAAGTCCTGAACTGGAGTTAGTATGCGGTTGATTCCGTTTGAAATCTGAGAAATGATGTTTCATTTTGGAACTTGATTCTTGAACTGGAATCCCTAAACTGTAATTAGTGTGTGCATGTTTCAGAAGTGCAGAGGTGAGACTTGGTTTCCTTTCTGTACTCTTTTTCTCTTAAGATTATGCTCAAGAGGACCTTTTATGTTACCTGTTACGCTATGTTTGTTGAAAAAGCTCTGAAGATTGCATAGGTAAGAGAGTAGAAAAGCACAATGTCATATTCTCTTATCACTGTAATAGTGTGGCAATTGTGATGCTTTCAATAACAAAAAAAAATAAAAGCTAGCATTTCAAGTACTTCTATTACAACAGCAAATTATATCTGCTAAACATATACTCACTGATAAACCTAAATGAACACCTTGTGGTGAGAGGAACAATGCAACACTGGCAAACAGAGACCACACTCTTGCTAATCCTACAAAATTTCATTTTTTAGAAAGTTTTCTGACTCAAATGACATGGTACTTCCCCTATTGCTTACAATTTAACATAAAAAAAGCCCCAACAACAAATTATAACATGGCTGCTTAATGAAGTGGCATTTTTACCTTTCATTTCCCTGAGAATTTGCAATTTCAACAATGGTCTGACTTCCCAGTTGTTTGAGGAATTGCAGACTTAGATTCACAATTAGCATCTCAAGCATTATTGAAGCTACAGCATCTCTGCAGTAGCATGATCCCATTCTACATTAGCAGAACCCATCTCTACCTTAGCACAACCTATCTCTAAATTAGCATACTCCCATACTACATCAGCCCAATCCCATTCTACATCAGCACAAGCCACCTCTATGTCTGCACAATCCCATTCCACATTTGCACAACCCATCTCTATATCAGCACAATCCCATTCTACATTAGCACAAGCCACCTCTGTTTGCACAATCCCATTCTACATTTGCACAACCCATCTCTGCATTAGCACAATCCCATTCTACATTAGCACAGTCCCATTCTACATTAGCACAAGCCACCTCTACGTTTGCACAATCCCATTCTATATCAGCACAAGCCACCTCTACGTTTGCATAATCCTATTCTACATTAGCACAAACCACCTCTACATTTGCACAATCCCATTCTACGCTTGCACAACTCACCTCTACATTTGCACAATCCCATTCTACAGCAAGAACAAGGCAAACCAGTTTGATTTGAAACTCTTTAATCGCTGACCACCTTAAGTCATTTTACGTGCTACCTGCTGCACTGAGGTTATCTGGTTATGAGGTTATCTGGTTACTGAGGTTATCCGGTATGAGGTAATCTGATCATGAACCTAAAGTCAGCCTCCTGTGGGTTTTTTAACCACATTCTTCTTTTAGAAGAATACATAAATACCAAAAAACCTGAGATTGAGGTAATGACCTAATTTCACAAGTGACCTTTCCAAAACCACACTGGTGACAATCCATCTGTCCCTTTAGAGTGACAATCACCAGCTGCAGGTTCCTGTCTCTGCATAACCCTAGAGAAACACAACTGCTTTATAGTATCACAAACTCAAACTACACAAATGCCCTGTGTCCATTTTCAACCTCTAATTAATTTAATATTAATACAGTTTTTTCCTAACACTCCTCTCGCAGCTAAGGACTGGTTCTCTTAACGAATTCAGGAGTTTCACCAACTTACCTTCTGTGAAATAAAGGGAGAAGAGGGAAAGAAAGTGGGAGAGGGCAAGATACCAACTAAGGTATTCGTAAAAAGGGAGGAGAAAGTTTTTTACTAGAGCAGCCTTATGACGAACAAAGAATCAGGAAGTAACAAGCCAAAGACATCTGGGAAAGTCAAATCAAAGACATTTCAGACCACTTTGCTGCTCAGCAAAATGGCAGTTTTATACACACTGCTCGTGCTGTTCTTGGCAGTTTTTGTTGCTGGATTTGTGTTGCTGGTCTTGGGGGCAATGAATTTTGATTTCTCCAACTCAGAAATTCCTCCTGGAGTGAACGAGCCAGTAAAGCTCCGAATCATCCACATCATGTTAATAAGCAGAGCTGTGGTGGTAAGTTAACCTGGTGCAGTTTCTGATGGAAGCATGGTGAACCTGCAGATCTGAAACGTAATGCAATGCTAGAGCCCTGCTTGGAATTAGTTTCCAGAGAGGAAAGCAGGGCATTGCTATCATGCTGCATGTTGGATTTAAAAGCCTGGTTTTCCTAGGTAAACCTTGACCAGATTTTGACACTAAGCTGCATTATTACAGTCCTGCCTGGCTCTGGCACTAGGCAGGATGTAAATGCTGCCTAACACAGAATTTGAAAGTCTGACTGTGCTTCTACAATGAACTGTGCTAACCTAGCAACAACTTGATTAAGACCACTTCTGCATGTTGGATCATTTGCATTTCTATTATAGGTTCAGAATATATCAGATGTCTTTGGGACATGCCTTCAAGCTTTCCTTAGATATGGGGATGAGGAGTTATCTACTTGAAGATAAAATTAGAAACTGAACATTTCAAAATTGCTTTGGGAAAGGGGTATTTTTTGTCACACAAATGACAAAATCAGGTAATGTTGCCCAAGAGGAGGTGGAGGAAGTCCATCTCCCCTGAAGACGTACTTGTAACTCCTGCAGCAACTGAGCAGGCTTCTCTGATAGGAATGAGGGGTTCTGGCCAGCCTAGCTGCTTCAGGTGAACAGGTCTGGAAGAAAGTGGGAACTGGTCCACAAGAGTTGAAGCTCTTGTCAGCACTCAACTTTTGGTGATCTCTGCTGACACAGGATCTCACTGAATCAGGAGTATTTCATGTAATGATAGGTGTATAGATGCTGTGGTGACAGAAGGTGTTAGAAACACGCAAGATAACAGAAGTAATGTATTTAATAAATCACTTAAACACCTCCAAAAGGGAAAAACTATTTAAAATGTTTTAGAAAAATAAAAAATCTCTGTCAGATATATTCTAGATTATAGCAGACCACAGTAAAGAATTCTAGATCCATGTTCTCATGCTTTGGATGTACAGAAGTTTTGATTAGAAAGAGATTACTTCACTTAAGCAACTGGAAAAGCCAGTTCTCTCCTTATATTTATACACTGCCCATTAGTAGCATGAACCAGAATTGTACGCTGCAATGTCAACAACACACGCTGAAAAAACCCAAGTAAGTTGAATGCAAAGGTGAGAATACTCTTTGTAGTTGTTTTATTTCTGCTTGGAAAATAGCAAATACCAAAGAATAAATAATTGCATCATGTTTGTACCCAATCAGAGATAATAAGACTAGTTTCTATAATTAATTAAAATCAGCATGTTGCAAAATGTATTAGTTTCTTTATCAAAAAAATCAGGCATAGAGAACATTATAAGGAGCTGGAGTCACTGAAGAAAAGGTCTTTCGTAAGTAAATACACTTTGAGTCACAACACTCTGCTGACAAGCATGCAAATGTAGTGGTCTAAGAAGACACAGTCATAACAAAATACTGAATACTAAAAGCTTGATCCAAATCTTCATAAGCACCTAAGTACTAGTTTGACATGACTAAAAAATGTATTTCAAAACAGAGGTTATGTGTTTTTTTTCTATTTTTGCAAATATATATCAGACCAGTAGCTCTCATTTGTATTCTTTTCATCTTCTGGTGCCTGGCATGAATATCATGATGGCATGTAGGAAGAACAGAAGCTTAAGCCTACTAAATATCTCAGGATGTTCTTGCTAGTGCATTGCACACATCAGTGAAGACCTCTGACATGAACTCAAAAAGCAATTATCAAATATATTTCTCAACTTAGTCAACTCTACTTTGGGCAAGTGTCCACATGATGAAAATGAGCACCAGAGCTACCATCTTTCACTATGTCTCCACATGTCCTCAGGGGCAAGGACAGAATATCCAGTGAAAAGCAAACTCATTTCCAGTGTTACATAAAGGACCCACTGAGAAAGTGAAGGGATATATTTCACCACTGTGTTAATGCTGCATTACTTTGAGATTATGTTCTTCAGTGAATGCTGCTGCTCATGTGTCCTCTCATGATGCTGCTGCTATTTGTTCAGTTGTACTGTACCTATACTACTCAAATATTTTATGGTTGCCCTAAAATATACAACATTAAGATCAGGAGTATACTGCCCATACAGCTTCTTTACTTTGGAAAATACAGTATCTCTTGAGTGAACTCCCAATTCTCCTTACCTTTGAACAGGGAAGGATTTTGGAAAACATTGGTATATGCAGCCAGGTTAACTTTGTCCGGTACATGCAAGATAGAAAGATTCTACAAGTGGACCCAAAGCTCTTAATCAAGGACCTGTGGTTTGAAAAAGTGCCTGTACGAATTTATCAGCCTAAGGCTCCATCTGCCAGCCAAAGGAGAGGAGTCATGTTTTTCCATGGAGGAGGATGGGTATTTGGAAGTCTTGGTAAGATACCTAACAGAAAAAAAGATATTTTAATATAGTTAAATAAGTATCTACTTCATAAATGGTGAAGTGTCGCTTGACCTTGAAGCAGTTATGAAGTTGGGAGTATAATGACAGATGCAGCCTCCTAAGTCTGGCTGTCAGAAGAAAGAATCTGCTGTACATTATGTGTTTTTTCTTAAGGACAGTAAGATACAAGGGGAAAAAATACAGTAAGTAAATAGTGAAATAGGAATATGAGGAGGTGCAAAAGAACTGAGGAGCTACGTAGGAGGGGGCAGAGAAACTTAGAGAGTATTTTGTTCTTGCAATTCTTTGACTTCTGCAATAGACAAAATTAATACTCCGGCAAACCAAACTAAACCAAACCAAACCCCACCAAATCTGTTTCTTTCAGAGACCCATGAAAGGCTATGCCGCTCTATTGCCAGAGAAAGCGAATCTGTGGTTGCATCTGTTGGGTGAGTCTCTCTTCATGCTGTTTGTTACAGATTATTTCATACAGTGTAAGCATAACCTTACAGCTTCTCTAACCACATCAACAACTGTTCTGTGTTTCTGTGGGGCTTGTCAAGCATGTGATGTACAAATTCACTCTGTTCTTGTTTGGAGCCACTGAAGAATGACTCTGGCTAAGTTTTCACTGCTGACTACATCACAAATAATGCTTTGGGATACCCACCTGGAAAATAAAGTTTTGAATCACTGTTTTCAAATTCCAAATTCAAAACTGATAGTAAATGGATAGTAAGCCATATATCCTACTTAATCCGTATTCAAGAAAACTCTGCTTGATGCTTATAGATGCACAATATGAATGACAAGCTAATATCATCATCAACATACTGACATAATGATTTGGATTATGAGGATATAGTTACACTATAACAAAGCCATAAACCAGATGTATTGTCATTTCTCTCCGACCCATGGAAAACTAAAGCATAAAATGACTAAAGGATTGCAGTGGACTACTATTGTGTTGTCAAATACCTGGGAAACGCCCTAAACAGATGATATCCTAACAGGTTAATCTGCACCACCTGGTCCAACAACCTGCAGTTTATTTTATGATCAAAGAGAAAATCCTGCTGATTGCAAGAACCAGTGTTTTCAGCAATACATTTAAAACAAATACTTCCCTCTCTTACTTTTGTTGTCACTTTCTGTGTGCTAGGTACCGTTTAGCCCCTGAACACAAATACCCTGCTGCGTATGAAGACTGTCTTAATGCCACCATACACTTCATGAAGAATGCAGAGCACTATGGAGTGGATCCTGCCAATGTAACTGTCTGTGGGGACAGTGCTGGGGGCAATCTGGCAGCTGCTGTTAGCCAGACCCTTGCAGGTAGATCAGACCTCCCCAGCCTGCGTGCTCAGGTCTTGATCTACCCAGGCCTGCAGGCCCTGGACTTCAATTTACCATCCTATCAGCAGAATCAGGGAGTCCCTCCCTTATTCCGAGAACGTGCTGCTTTCTATATGTTACAGTACCTAGATGGGAATGTATCAAACCTGGAAGAGGTCTTGGAGGGCTCCCATATTCCTATGGACATAAAATTAAATTATGGGAAGTGGGTAAGTCCAGATCACATCCCCGAAAAATTTAAGGACAGAGGCTACAAACCACATGTGCTACTGGACTGTTCAACTGAGATTTATGAGACAGTGAAGAGATTCTGTGAGCCCAACCTGTGCCCACTGCTGGCCGAAGATGCTGTGGTTCAGCAGCTGCCTCAGTCTTTCATCCTGACTTGTGAGTATGATGTGCTGAGGGACGATGGCTTGCTATACAAGAAGAGACTGGAGGACAATGGTGTTCCAGTGACCTGGTACCACCTCGAGGATGGATTCCATGGAATCGTAAATTCATTTAATACTGACTGGTTGTCATTCCCATCTGGAAAAAGGGGTCTTGACAATATTGTGAACTTTCTAAAAAGCTTATAGAAACAATTTTCTTTCCTTCTGCAAGAACTGCCAATTTTCTGTAGTCTTTTATGCTTCTAAATTCCATATAAAATGTTCAGATAGGACATCTATGAGCAATTTTGCCAGTGTGACCACTGAAAAAGATACTTCAAGAATGCTATGAAAGTTTCTTTTCATGCTGTTTGAAGTATTCCACGTGCAGTCTGCCTATTTTAATGATCTATTTAGACTAGATGCTTGCTATTCTCTCAGTAAATATTAAAGATGAAGTAAAAATTTAAACCAACACTGGGTCTGACCCATTTTATTATATGATGATCAACAGTTTAATTCTTCCTAGAAGGTTGAGTATCTTTCTCCTTTGCCAAAGGTTTATTTTGGCAAAGGAAAAAGATACTGATGTTAAAATGCTGTAATGCAGTGCCTGTGATATATGCTACACGTAGCATCTGAGTTTAAGATTCCTAGTCACCAGCTATGTCTATGGGCTAGGAAACTGGTATTTTAGACTCACATAAATGAAGTGAAAACTGCAACTGTCCAAGGCAGCTATGTTTAAATTATAATGGAAGAAACTATGTGTTTTCCTACGCTTAACAAACTTACAAGTATGCTGAAAAACCTGTCCTCTGCTTAAATACTCTAATAACAAAATAAGACTGAAACATTTACTTTTGCAGAGCAGATTAGCTTCTCCCCAACATGTTAGTTCCCATTTTCTTTTCTAGATGTCTTTGTTAAAATTATACCCTCTAAACCACTTAAATAATGTCCACAATACAGGGAGCAATATGCTGTTGCTGCAGATCAACCAAGAGATAATTTATGTAAGACGCAAGAGACAATTTAACCTCCACCTTAGTTGGCTTTCATTGTCAATAGCAACCCATCATAGACTAGACCTTTCTTCAGTAATTAACTGCTATCTCTGAACAATCATTTATATCATCCGCAATCCAAGAATACCATAGAATCATAGAATAGTCAGGGTTAGAAAGCACCTTAAGATCATCTAGCTCCAGCCCCCCTGCCATGGGCAGGGACACCTCACACTAAACCATCTCACCCAAGGCTCTGTCCAACCTGGCCATAAACACCGCCAGGGATGGAGCATTCACAGCTTCCCTGGGCAACCCATTCCAGTGCCTCACCACCCTTACAGTAAAGAACTTCTTCCTTATACCAAATATAAACTTCCACTGTTTAAGTTTTAACCCATTACCCCTTGTCCTATCACTATAGTCCCTAATGAAGAGTCCCTCCCCAACATCCTTGCAGCCCCCTTCAGATACTGAAAGGCTGCTATGAGGTCTCCACGCAGCCTTCTCTTCTCCAGTCTGAACAGCCCCAACTTTCTCAGCCTAGCTTCATACGGGAGGTGCTCCAGCCCCTGATCATCCTCGTGGCCCTCCTCTGGACTTGTTCCAACAGTTCCATGTCCTTTTTATGTCGAGGACACCATGTAGAATACTAGGCTATGCACCAGTCCCACAATTAACATAAAGCTAAATAGGTTATTAAATACATTCTCCTCTTGACTCTTTTCCAATGTAACACATGCTGGTACCTTACACAACATTTATAAGAACTTGAAGGTGTGTGGCACCCAAGAGATCAGTTGCAACTTGGACTGCTCTAAGGCTTACTTTCAGATGAGAAAGGTGCATCAAAGACAGGCATAAAGACACCTCACATTTAGCTAAGCGACATGGCATTTTTTTTTATATACTGCCAGTGGTACTGCTGGTGGGTTTTATTGCTTCTTTCATACTAGCAATTAAGGGAATGATTCAATCCAGTAACTCCAATTTCAGTATCCCTCCTGGAGTGAATCATCCTGGAAAGCTTCAAATTATCCTTGTTCTTGTGATTGGTACATCAGCTATGGTGAGTTACTCTGCCATGATTTCTATCAGAAATGTGGTTTAGGTGTTATTTTTGTAAGCTTATGTGTAAATACTAGAATCCTGCTGGCTGCATCAAGACTTAAATGACAGCTTCCATTTTTGGGGGGCTGACTTTAGAGGACAATTTTAGTAAAATCATTTCTGCTACACCTCAGAGAGTTTCAGTCAGGTTTTCCCTGTTACATAGGGATGAAGACAACCTTAAGTGTCTAAGCAGAACAAGCTGAGCTTCCTTAATGAAGTTTAAATTGATTATTTATAAAAAGTGAAATTGGTTTGATTTCCATTTCAGCTAAGCACAGTTGATGGTTTTAGGCCAGTCTTGGGGCTTTCCAGTAACACTTCAGCAGATAAAACTGGAGACTCCCAGGAAACCTTAGAGGAATGACTTCTGTGTTGTATACGGCTGTAAGTGATGGGAAGCTGCTACGAAAGCACAGGACTTGGTGGCACTGAGATGGAAACTCTTTTCTCCCCTAAGCCATTTTGCCTGACAGTGTGAGTCGGACACATGGCCCTACCTTCTCAGGCACACAGCGCCACAGCAGCCCTGCTCACCCAGGTGCAGCGCCTCGCAGGACACCGCCACGGCTCCATCTTCTCCTGCACCACCTTTCTGGTGAGGTCTAAACCGAAGCGGCCGCTCAAGGCCAGGGTAGAGGCGAGAGGCTCTGGAACAGGTTGAACCTCACCAACACGAAGCCCGGGTGCTCCTCAAGCCTCGCCAAGGGCAGGGTCTCTCCCTCACGGTGAACACCCTAGCGTGGCCTGCGGCAGCCTCCCCTAACGCGGCTGCTGACTGTGCCCGCGGAGCCCGCCCTCCGCTCACCCGCACTCTCCCCCTTCTCTTCGAACAGGGGAAGCTGTTGGAGAAGACTTGGCTGTGCAGCGAGATCGCCTTCACCCGCTACGCGGTCTCCGGGAGGAAGCCGGGGCCGGACCCACAGCTGTGGATGTCGGACGCTCGGCTGGGCCGGGTGCCGGTGAGATATACCGGCCCCGCACGCCTCCTGCCGTCACCTTCCACGGCGGCGGCTGGCTGTACCGCAGCATCGGTGGGGCAGGGCGGGCCGCGCCGCAATGCTCCCTTCCCCGGCAGCGCTGCTGGAGGCGGTGGGATAATTCTACCCCGAAACCTGGCGGGAACTCCAGCACCCGGCTGAGCATCGCCGCCATCTGCGGCCCGCTGAGCGCTCCCGCGGCTGCCGGCCCCGAGGGGAGGCGGCGTGTGGCGGGCATGAAGGGCGCGGCAGGGCGGGAAGAGGAGGTGCCCGCCTTTCTTTGCCTGTGGCGTGTGGAAACGGAGCGGGCCCGTAGCGATCCCCTGGCGTTTTGCAGATTCCCATGAAAACATCTGCAGTTACACTGCCAGGGAACGTAACTCGGTGGTTGTACTAATTGGGTGAGTTACGTTGGTGTAACCCTATGGAAGTCTTTTTGCTTCTTTTCACTTAGCACCACAGTGTTAACGCATACTGTGGGAACACTCCCTCTCCTCAGTAACCGTTTCCCCAGGATCCCAGATGGTCAGACAGAATTCCAAGGGCATGGTTTTAATTTCTTCCTCCCCACACCAATCTGCTAATGCAGGGAGAGTGCAGAGACTCCAAAGTAAAGGTTCGTGTACTTTCCAGCATGGAGCTATGCTGGCAGCACACAAAAAAAAGGAATCCTGTCCAGAAGACTTTGGAAATGTGCTGAGAACTAAGAAACCGACTTCAAGGGTTCATTCACTGATCTATCAGGTGAATGTAATCCCTCTACAAACTTCAAGGTGCTTTCTAACAGTAAGCATCAATTACTAATATATTCTAATACTAATAGTACTGAAAAATACCTCTGTCCCAGTTACTCAAATAAACACAGAAAAATAAAAAAGAATAATTCACAAGGGGAAATATCCTAAATACAGGTGAGGTACAGACTGGTTAAATTACTTCAGCCACAAGCCAAATGCAGTCTACACCAGAAGTATAACAGCAACCTGTATAGTTTAAGTTCTGATCAGTGCTGTTCTGAGAAGATCCCAACTATGCATGTCCTTGCAACTTCATCCTGCAGGCTATCATTTATCTGTTATAACTTGCTGGACAAATACCTGTTCAGCTGATAATAACACAGGTGTTTGTTATTTTCCTGAAGATAAAATACTCCAAACAACACAGGGAAAGCCAAGGTGCTGTAGGAAAATTGTATTTACAGTGATAGCATTCCCTTCTCTTACTTTGGTTGTCTCTTTCTGTGTGCTAGGTACCGTTTAGCCCCTGAACACAAATACCCTGCTGCGTATGAAGACTGTCTTAATGCCACCATACACTTCATGAAGAATGCAGAGCACTATGGAGTGGATCCTGCCAATGTAACTGTCTGTGGGGACAGTGCCGGGGGCAATCTGGCAGCTGCTGTTAGCCAGACCCTTGCAGGTAGATCAGACCTCCCCAGCCTGCGTGCTCAGGTCTTGATCTACCCAGGCCTGCAGGCCCTGGACTTCAATTTACCATCCTATCACCAGAATCGGGGAGTCCCTCTCTTATTCCAAGAACGTGCCGCTCTCTTTGCTTTGCAGTACCTCAATGGGCATGCACTGCATATGCAAGAAGCCTTGGAGGGCTCTCATATTCCTCCAGATATGAGGCTGAAGTATAGAAAATGGGTAAGTCCAGATCACATCCCCGAAAAATTTAAGGGCAGAGGTGTGAAGCCATGTAAATCCACTGATTTTATTGCTGAAGTCTGAAGAGATTCTGTGAGCCCAACCTGTGCCCGCTGCTGGCCGAAGATGCTGTGGTTCAGCAGCTGCCTCAGTCTTTCATCCTGACTTGTGAGTATGATGTGCTGAGGGACGACGGCTTGCTTTACAAGAAGAGACCGGAGGACAGTGGTGTTCCAGTGACCTGGTACCACCTCGAGGAAGAATTCCATGGAATCATAAGCCTCTATGGTTACTGTGGTTTGTCATTCCCATCTGGAAAAATGGGATTGGACAGAATTGTTAAATTCATAAAAGGCCTGTGAAAACAACTTTACTTCTTTGTAGAGATTTCCCACTGTTTAGGCTCCCAAACCTCAGGTAGCACTTGTCAGCAAAAATGCGATGTGTAAGAATACCTATTTTCATATTCATGAACTTCAGATCTGGTCTTTGTCCTCATGAGACTCTTGTCAGTTCAGTGTCTACAGCTTTAGTATTTTCCACATACTGTGTTTCAATCCCTTTTCTTTAAAGTCAGTATCTATCTGATTGATTCCTTGTATTTCATTACCAAATTATGTAATTCTATATGAATAATGTCTTTGGAATGACTTGGATTAAATAACTCCTGTGAATTGCAGCCAGGGTCTTTGTGATGTTCATTTCATGAGCTCCAAAGCATGACTTAATTTTATTTAGCTAAAAAGCTCAAGGTAGGTACATAGTGAGCTATAAGAAAAAGTTAGAGGAAAGCTCTGGAAATACAGGCAGAGATGAAGTCTTGGTAAGGAAAATCAGCAGATTTTCAGTGGGCTTGACAGATCCACATTTGCAAGAGCACTAGAGGCCTGAGTTAACTGAGGACACCCTGCGCGAGGCAAGTAAGGGCTGCCCTGAACTTGAACTAACTGTAGCTCTACAAACTCCTATTTAATTTTGTGATGTTTCTATTATGCCACTGAAGCTCAGGACAAGACATACTGGTTGAGCGGGAACACTTAACATCGGCTTTAGAAAGTAAGGATTTGTGAACTGGACACTTGATCTGTGTACACTGGAAGGTTTAGCTTAGAGACAGAAAATACGAAACAAAATGTTCTGTTCTTTGAAAGAATGGTTCCCCCAGTATTGTATTTTTAGAATTTATGTTGTGATGTTCTTCATACTTTGAGTTTCCTTTACAGGACAAGGCAGTGTATTCCTTGACCTGATGTCCCATTATATTCTGCTGATAAAGCAAGGAGAAAACAGTCATAAGCATACTCAAAATAGTAAAACAGAGAAATTAACAGCCTAAGGAAAAGATAATCCCCAAACTGAGGAAATCAGAAATTCTTCCAAAAAGAAACGCCGTCTTCCAGTCAGCTGTCACAGCGCAGAGGCAGCCCTTCCCTCAGCTTCCTGCACGCTGCCGTTAGACAAAGAATCCCTAAATTCAGGGACAAACTATAAACTGCCTCCTGCGATGAAGCCGTCAGGGACACAGGGTGCGCTGCAACCCGCCGGCGCTGCGGACTCCCCCGCCTCTTCGGTAACGGCAGCACCCGGCATAGCGCCCGGTCGCACTCCCTGCCGCCCGCGGGGACGCGCGGCTTTGCGGAGCGCCCTTGCCGGGCGCGCAGGTCACGCACCGCCTCCTCCTTGAACCGAGATTACTGCGCGGCTCCCGCGCGGCCGCCCCCCGGGGCTCGCCGCCGCCCGTACCATGACCCCGCGGGCGGCTTTGCGGAGCTGTCACAAACGGCCCGTGACGCCGCCGGCCCGGGCCGCGGTTCGGAGCGGGCGGGGGGGCGGGAGCTGCCGGGCCCCGCCGCGGGCCGGGAGCCCCCGGGGACCGCCGCCGCGCCATGGCGCTGCTGCCCGCGCTGCTGCTGCTGCTGCTGCTCCTGGGCCTGGCGGCGCTGGCAGCCGTGCTGGCCGCGGTCCTTCTCTCCCTGCCCAGCTACGACATCCCGCCCGGGGTGAACCAGCCCGCCAAGCTGCGCCTGGTCCTGGCCGTCCTGCTCGGCACGGCCGCCCTGGTGAGTCGCGCCCTCCGCCCGCTTGTGGTTCCGGGGAACGGGGGACTGTTTCCACTGAGCCCGAGGGTTCGCAGGTCCGGCCCCTGGCCGGGCATCCCCTCGCCGGGAGGGCGGGCAAGCCGCGGCCCGCGGGCTGCGCTTAGGAAGAGAAAACCCCAAGAGGCTGGGTTCAGATCCGCATGTCCTGCGGCTCCCCGCGGGGCAGCACCTCACCGGGACCCACCTCCCGGTCCGAGCGGCGTGCTGAGGCGCGTTAGCGGAGGTTGCCAAACCGCGGGGCTGATTGAAGTCTCCAATTGAGAGCTGGGCTGGTGCTTGGCTGATAACTGCCCTCTGCTTTAGCCGAAGTCACCTTGCACAAGGAACACTGCAGCCCTTCAAGGGGGCTGACATTGATGGTACGCAATCCGGTTAGGGCTGCTTTACTTAATCCGTGGACTCCCTTTTACAGCATTGCATAAACGGCATTAGAGCTCCCCTAAACTCTTCTCGTGTCACTAGTTGTATCTTTTAATGGTTTTAAATCTTCAGTTTTCTCCTTTAGCCGACAAACACATCACTTTTGCTATCATAAAGACTTGTTCTTCGTGCTGTTTCATACCTACACCATTTACATCCTCTTGAAAGTTACTGACTAAGGTACCTAGCTCTCCTGAATCCCACTACCAGGTGACAATAAGGGAGTGGATAAAGACAGACTCTCTTTGAGTATTTAAAATCGTTTAGTAACTGAACTGTAACAGTTTGTTTTATTCCATTAATTAATTTGGTTCCCAATTTCTTGTTTCTTCACTTTTCACATAAGATTCCTGAATACAGCATGGAGAAGCATTGCAGTAGCATCAGGAAAGGAACTTTCTTGATTGTGCTCAGTAAATGTTGTGCAAATAAAAAGTGGTAACTAATTTGCACAATGCAACTCAATGCTTGAGTTTTGCAAATTCATTGAGTTTTATGGTCTAATTCAGGAATATTAGTTTATGCAATGAAGAACTCTTAGAAGTTTTATTGCTGTTTCAACATAGGGCATTTCATTGTTGTTGTCATGTTGCTATCACAGAGGTGTGCAGGACAATGCTGACAACTGTGTTCTCCAAGGCAGCCACTTTGAATAGCCTGTATCAAATTTCTGATGTGACATAGGACTTGAGTAATGCAAGTATACTTTTTACAGTCTGTAGGATACAAGAGCTTGGGAAAACTGTTGTGGGTTTGGGTTTTTTTCTGAATCAAAGAGCTTTATTTTTATCAGACAAGAGAAATCAAATTGCTGTATGTGAAGACTAGATTTTTCAGTCTGATTCTTCACATTCCAGTGGTTCTGATATGTTAGAAACTAAAACTAATTGAGGCAAACTTAAATACTCCTTTCTGGCTTTCTCTCTGGCTCCTCTCAGTGAGGGGATCTCTCACTTCCATAAGACTGGGCATTCCTACCAAGAAAACCAGCCGTGGAGTTACTTTTCCTCACTGCTTTCCACGGATTTATTACAGCAAAACCAAAGGACTAACCAAGCAATGGGAGGGAGCTCTCTGAGCAGTACTAAGAATACAGGAAGCCATTTAGAGAGGGTTTGCAATACATTTGCATGGCCATTATCCTCCTCTGGGAACAGCCCTTGTGGTAGTTATTCTACCATCTTGTGCTGTTATTGCTGTATCTTCTTACAGTATATTTGTATTTTACAACATTACCCTTCTGTGTTTAAATTTTCCCTCAAATACAGTTCAGTATAAGTATGATGCAGAGTTTGTATAAGTTGGCTAACTCAAGACTTGTAAAGAAGCCTTAATTTCATTTACCTTTAACAGGGAAGGATTTTGGAGAAGACGGGAATTTGCAATCAAATCACATTTGGCCGATATGTGCGACAGGGACGGAAACTAGGGGTGGATCCAAAGCTCTTTATCCAGGATCTGCAGTTTAACAAAGTACCTGTGAGGGTTTATCAGCCTAAAACTACCTCTGATGGGCGAAGGAGAGCTCTCATCTTCTTTCATGGAGGAGGCTGGGTATTTGGAAGTCTTGGTAAGATACTTGCTGGAAGGACTGTAGTGATGTAGAAAGAACGTTCTCATCTTTCTATAAAATTGAAATAAGTGGAGGGCTCACCATGGGATATGGGAGGAAATCTGAAGACAAATGCATGCCCTTCCAGAATGAACATCCCCCAGCTGTCCCAAGGATTAGGGCAATAGCACAGCACTAATGAAAACATTTCTTTTCCAGATACCTATGAAAAAGTATGTCGCTACCTATCCAGAGAAAGTGTCTCAGTAGTTGTATCTGTTCAGTAAGTGCCTGCCCTCTTCTACTCTTTGGAGGTGATTGTTGCTGTGGTGTCACAGCAGCTGCACTGGATTTGGAGACGTGCTTTTTTTCAGAGAAATTTCTGTTGAATTCAGTTAAGTCCATAAAGAGACAAATAGTGATAATGGAGATATCACAGCTCATGACTGTTCAGGACCTGATACACTCAGAAAAGACCCAAATGGAAATATTCGTCACACTAAGAAAATCTATAAAAGTCAATAAAAAACTTGGATAAAAAAAAAAATCTTCCTTGTGCTGAATGTATGAATAAGGTCCTCAAAATAATTGTATTTATAGAAAGAGAATAATCACACTGCATTACTCCCACTTTACACGTGGGAAGCAGAGGCACAAAATGATTAAATGATCTTGTCAAGGATACACAGGGAGTTTTCAGCATGACTAAGAAATGTACAAAGTCTCACTCAGACTTGTTATCAAAAGAGAATCCTACTTTACTGAATCCTGGTGATTGAGTTTATAGTTTACAGCCTACCTGCAGTCACTAACTGAGGAATGCCTGCTCAGGGGGTAATGGGTATCCTCACCTAGAGGAAAAAAAAACCAAAATGACAGGGCTGGAAGACAGCATAAGATACCATTTTCTGAATAATACCAACAACATTTCCTTCTCTTACTTTTGTTGTCTCTTTCTGTGTGCTAGGTACCGTTTAGCCCCTGAACACAAATACCCTGATGCATATGAAGACTGTCTTATTGCCACCATACACTTCATGAAGAATGCAGAGCACTATGGCGTGGATCCTGCCAATGTAACTGTCTGTGGGGACAGTGCTGGGGGCAATCTGGCAGCTGCTGTTAGCCAAACCCTTGCAGGTAGATCAGACCTCCCCAGCCTGCGTGCTCAGGTCTTGATCTACCCAGGCCTGCAGGCCCTGGACTTCAATTTACCATCCTATCACCAGAATCGAGGAGTCCCTCTCTTATTCCGAGAACGTGCTGCTTTCTTTGCTTTGCAGTACCTCAATGGGCATGCACTGCATATGCAAGAGGTCTTGGAGGGCTCTCATATTCCTCCAGATATGAGGCTGAAGTATAGGAAATGGGTAAGTCCAGATCACATCCCCAAAAAATTTAAGGACAGAGGTGTGAAGCCATGTAAGTCCACTGATTTTATTGCTGAAGTTTATGAGACTGTGAAGAGATTCTGTGAGCCCAACCTGTGCCCGCTGCTGGCCGAAGATGCTGTGGTTCAGCAGCTGCCTCAGTCTTTCATCCTGACTTGTGAGTATGATGTGCTGAGGGACGATGGCTTGCTATACAAGAAGAGACTGGAGGACAATG